CTCCTCCTCCTCCTCCTCTACTCCTCCCCTGCTCCTACTCCTCCTCCTCCTCCTCTCCTCCGCCTCCCTCCGCCTCCTCCTCCTCCTCCTCTCCTCCTCCTCCTCCTCCTCTCTCCTCCTCCCCCCTCCTCCTCCCCCTCTCCCCTCCCCTTCCCCTTAACGAGGAGGAGCCCTCCCCCTCCTCCTCCGCCTCCTCCTCCCCCTCTCCTCCTCCCCTCCTCCTCCTCCTCTCCTCCGCCTCCTCCTCCTCCTCCTCCTCCTCCTCCTCCCCCTCTCCACTGCTTCCTCCTCCTCCTCTTCTCCTCCTCCCTCCTTTCTCTCCTCCTCCGCTCCTCTCCTGCTCCGCTCCTCTATCCTCCCCCTCCTCCTCCTCCCCTCGCCTGCTCTCCTCCTCCTCCTGGCTCCTCCTCCTCCTCCTCCTCCTCCTCCGCCTTCCGCCGCTCCTCCTCCTCCTCTCCTCCTCCTCCTCCCCTCCGTCCTCATCCTACTCTCCTCCTCTCCTCCTCCTCCTCCTCCCCCTCCTCTCCTCTCTCCGCCTCCTCCTCTCCTCCTCCTCCTCTCCTCCCCTCTCCTCTCCTCCTCCTCCCTCCCCCTCCTCCTCCTCCGCTCCTCCTCCTCATCCCGGTGACTCCTCCTCCTCCGTCCGCCTCCCCTCCGCCTCTCTCCACTCCTCCTCTCCTCCTCTCCTCCTCCTACTACTCCTCCTCCTATCCTCCTCCTCCTCTCCTCCTCCTCCTCCTCCTCCTCCTCCTCCTCCTCCTCCTCCTCCTCTTCCTCCTCCTCCTCCTCCTCCTCCTCTCCTCCTCCTCCTCCTCCTCCTCCTCCTCCTCCTCCTCCTCCTCCTCCTCCTCCTCCTCCTGGGCCCAGGAGCGGTGTAGGCGCCCTCCTTGCCTCGGCCAGGGAAGCCTGGACGCCGCTCCCGGGGCCCGAGTGGGTCAGGCCTGGGGCAGCGGAGCTGTGCAGGTCTCGTCGCCCCGACGTGAATCCAGTGAGCCCGAGCCCTTTGGGACCGAGTGGCTCCCACCGATGAGTTCAGGGTGGCGCGCCCTGGCGAACGCAGAGAGTGAGTACTTGATGGAGGCTCACATGGCTGCAGCGCGAGGGGAGGAGGCGGCGGGGAGGACAGAGAGGATGGGGAGGAGAGAGAAAAAGGTAAAGGAGGAGCAGGGAGGGACGGACCGAGGGGGAGGAGGAGGAGGAGGAGGAGGAGGAGGAGGAGGAGGAGGAGGAGGAGGAGGAGGAGGAGGAGGAGGCGGAGGAGGCGGAAGACGAGGAATAGTAACATGAGCAGGAGCACGAAGAGGAGCAGGGAGAGGGAAAGAAGATGAGCAGGAAGGAAGAGAAAACTAGAGAGGAAGACGAAAAAGGGGACGAGGGCAAGGATGCGGCAAAATGAATAGACGAGTGGAGGAGGTGGGTAAGAAGAAGGAGGCATGGAGGATGAGGTGGATGAACAGGTGGATGAAGCGGTGGAAGAGGATCAGGCTGGGGCGCAGGTGGATGAAGAGAGAAAGGCTTAAGCGAGTGACCACATTGGTTTCGTGCTGCGTGCCCCTGGTCAACGCAGCTGTGGCCAGCATCGGCTTCCTAGGCAGCAATGCCTGGTCGATCGTCTGGGAAGTTGTGTACTTGCAAAGTGTAGACGCCGAGGCCACTGCATTACCGCATCCAAATATTCGGAATCCCTCCCTTGAGAGCTCCGACAATGCGTACCGTGAACTGGTGCGGACTCGCGCCAAGAATTCACACAATTCTCTCCCACCTTACCATGGGGGGAACGGGTCCTGAAGGAAACAGGTCCTGGACCCGGGAGTCTTCCCCCAGGAACACCTGTTCATCCTGAATCGTTTTCTGACGGTCCCCGGGCCCGTGGAGGGCCCCGAGAGCTCGAAAGCGAGGAAAAAACTCAGGTCCTGTCAGGTCCTGTTTGCCTCAGGATCCGTTTCCCACATGGCGATCACCGTGATAGCGATGCTGCTGGATCAGTATGGTTCCACGACGAGACTGTTGACATTTTGTGGCGTGGCCTTCGAGCATGAATATCCCCGTCTATACGAATGCTGATCGATGTTCGAATGCAACGCTTAGATCCAAATCTGCGATTGAAACCATCTACGCGCGCGGAGGGTTTTGACAGCGCTACGATAGTTCAACCTTGAACCGATCGCGGCCCCGATCGTTTAAGGTTGAATTCAGTCGGGGCTTGATCGCTCAACCGCCGTCACCGGCGCACCATCGCCGCATGAACCTACCGTACGAGAACAAGCATCATCGAATCCAGAAATGAATCGAACCGTGCATCGGATCGCGCTGCATCGGCACGGAGTCAAGATCGAATCCGATCGGCGGCGCCAGGATGCACAATATCGCGACGCAAGCATCGGGCCGCATCGGATCGTCGGAATATCGGAGCCGAATCGGATCGGGCTGGTCGAAAACGAAATCGACTTGGATCGACAGGATCGCACTGGCAGGGGGGATCATAGCACAGGAGGTCAGCGAATCGGATCACGCAGCTGGTTCTCCCAGCGCCCGTGCATCGGGGATCTTCTGACCCGAGTCGATCCAGACCCGGGTCGGTCAGGCTTTGCAGGATGCTGCAGCATCCTGCAGGTTCCTGCACCCAAACCCGCATCAATGCACCCCTGCTTCTAAAGGAACCTGCAAGATCTGGCGCTCTGATTGACCCCCACTTGGATTGACCCCCGTCTCTTGAGCCCCGACGTGCAACAGGGAAAAGCGCCTGGCGGTGGGGCCGAAACAGTCTGCATGCAGCAGATTTCGTACCCCCCAGTCCCCCGTGGCCATCCGGCCCGATCTGTGCACGTCTCCGGGCGGCTCTGGAAGCAGCGAGGAGGGGGGGAGACGAGGACGAGGACGAGGAGGACAAAGCTGCAGAAAACAGACACCTTCGAGGCTCCGTGTGGGCTTCTTGGATCTGCGCTGGAACCCCCCGCCCCCCCGGCGCGCGGGGCGCACCCATGGGGCGCTGCAGGCACCGCCGGGGGGGAGGGGGCCGAGCGCAGATCGAAAAAGTCCGCGCGGGCCGTCGAAAGTTTATGTGTGTGTCATTTGTGAAGGGGCCCTGGGACACACAAATAGATGGACACTAATAACAGGATTTCCCATATTGTTTCATACTTTCTGGGGAATCGACGATTAATTATGTCTGTGTGTTTATGTTCATCCTGCATTTGTTCTTCTTCGAACGAAGGGGAAGGCTAGATTCTCGTTCTGGGGACCTTCTGGAGCTACTCGCTCCACTCGTCCGTCGATGCTGCGTCGAGCGTCCGTGGACTTGAGCCGAACTCGAATCGAACTTGAGTCGAGCTCGGATTGAGCTAGAGTGGGACCAGAACCGAAGTAGAGTCGAAAAGGAATCGAACAGAGCTGCCAGGTGCCCCCAAAACGAGCATCCAGGCAAGGAGAGGAGGGCGAGAAGAGGGAAGAGGAGGCCGACGTGAGACCCACCCCGCGCTGCCGACTGCTGCGCGGCACTTGCACTGGAGAAGCGGGAGCACGAGGGGGAAGGATTTGCATTGGGGGTGGACCTTTTGAGCCTGCAGGCCTCGCGGGGCGGGCGAGGAAGAGCGAGGAGGAGGAGCAGGAGGAGGGGGACAGGAGGAGGGGAAGGGTGGAGAGGAAGAGGAGGAGGAGGTTCCTCGCCCTGCTGGTCAGGCGCGTGCGTCTAGCGTCCACGAGGGGCCCTGGGGGGGGGACCTGCCCGCCCCAGGACCCCCGACTGTGCCCTCGCAGCGGCCGAGGAGCAGCGGGAGCCCGGCGAGCTCGCGAAAGCGAGGAGGGCCGACGCGCGCTCGGCCCGCCCTCGCGAGGGCGCCCTCCGGCGGGCCGCGATAGCGCGCGGACGCCAGCGGGGCGCCGCGGCCAGGTCCCGCTGCGGCGCCGCGCATGGGCCCCGCCCCAGCTCCTCGGGCCGGGCCGCCAACGAGGCTCCTAACCGGCCTCGACCTGATCCCTGCCCCCAAGGTGGGCAGGCCACAAGCGAGGACAATCCTGGGGATAGGCCCTCAGAAACTGAGGGGATCCTTCAGATCGGTATCGATGCCAAACATATGAGTATCGTTTGACCGATCCCCATCCCCAGCGGCGTGGACTGGGCCCCACTGGCCGATTTACCCCCCTAGATGGGAATATGGGTCGTTCCCGCCGGGTTCTGAGGGGTGTACCCCCAACTGGGGGTGGCAACTCTGATGGGGGGTCTCGAAAGGGATGGGGATGGGGACGGGCGTCGGTTCGGCGATGCCGAAACTGGGGATAGAAATACGCTTGAAACTGGCAAGCTCCAGTGCCGCGGCCCAGCGAGGGGGCGCATCCCCAGGCCTGGGGGCCAGCCCGCGGCGGCGCGCGAGCCCTCCGCCCTCGCCGCCCTCGCCGCCCTCGCCACCGAGCTGGCACGCCACACCACCGCGGGCGGCGGCCGCGGCGCCGCCGCCGCCACAGCCCCCGCGCGCGACTCGCCGCAGCCCGCGCGCCCTCGGGCGCTCCGCCGGCCGCGAGCGGCCGCAGGGCGCCCGAAGGCGAGCGGCGGGGCCGACGGCCCCGCCCGCCGCCGCCCGCCGCAGCCCCCAGCGCGCCAGCGGCCAGCAGCGCGAGGAGGGAGGCGTCAAGTCGGGCGTGCCCCTCCGCAGGAGGAGCATGCAAGCACAGGCAGCAAAGGATAGTCTGGGGACGATTGTTCTATCATGTTTTGGACTGTGCTCTCATATCTTCTGCGTACTTTGCATGTTCCCTCCAGAAGCCGCCTGCAGGGGGGCATGCCCGACCTAAGAGAGGCCCAGGGCAGCAGGGTGGGCGCCCGCAGCCGCGGGCGCAGCGCCCAGCGGGCGCCGAGGGCCTCGAGGGCGGGAGCAGGAGCAGAAGCAGGAGCGGGAGGAAGGACGAGGAGGAGGGGAGAGGGCGGTGGAGGAGCAGGAAGAAGAGGAGGAAGGGAGGAGGAGGAGGAGGAGGAGCAGAGGGCGGGGCCCAACCCCGAATGACTCCTGCGCACCGCCGGGGCCGAGCTGGAAGGCCCACGTCTCGTCGAAGATGAGGGGGATGCCGCTCTTGGTGCACGTCTGCGCCCCGAGAGTGATCGAGCAGGAAAGTCGAAGAGGATCGAGGACGAAGAGGATCGAGGAGGATCGAGATTGTGCTACGAGGGGTATACCCAACATATTCCCCGCTGAGAAACGGCCCTTGGTCACAATCGAGCTATATATGTATGGTAGGGGGCTCACAAGATCTACCTTTAATATGTCCCATTTTGGTTTGTTAGTGGCGTTGCTGTAAGTTGTTGTTCCTCTGGTAGTGTTCTGTGATTATGTTGTAATCCCTTGCCGCTTCCTGTCCGAAGACTAATGGAAGCACAGGTTTCGTTGATGTTTCGCCTGGGGGCCCTGATTTTCTTGTTTTTCCGCAGGTTTTGACGGAGTTTCATGTTTGTGCTGGTTTCTGGCCCCCCGCGCCCTCTCTGGGGTTGAAGTGGAGGCGGCGCTAGGGAGGCCAGGGCGACGAAAATCAACAAAAGCAGGAAAATAAATCACAAAACCTCAGGGACAAAAGACAGCAAAATCAGAGCCCCCAAGCAAACAAAACAGTGTAATCAAGACCCCGAGTGGTTCTCGTACAGGCAGTGTAAAGCATGTGTGTTTTATAATATGTTGAGTAATATATATATATATTATATATATATATATCTATATATATATATATATATAAAACAGATACGTGTATGTGTATATATATATGTGTGTATGTATAGAATAAGCATAATAAGAATAAGACTAATAATAAAAATAAGAAAACTAATAAGAATAAAAACAATAATATTAATAAGAATAAGAATAAGACTATGACTAATAATAATGATGACTATGTTGTTGTTCGCACAAAAACCCGTCGGAGTCTAGGTTTCGTTGCTTGTTTTACTTGTGGTCGCTGGTGTCCCTTAGGTGTTGATTGATTCTCCAGCTTTTGCTGGTTTCTGGCCCCCCGCGCACTCTCTGGGAGGTGAGGTGAGGCGGCGCTAGGGAGGCCAAGGCGACGCAAATCAACAAAAACAGGGAAGTCATTCAAAACCTCAGGAAAAAACAGGAGAATCAGAGCCCCCGGGCAACAACAACCAATGAAATCAAGACGCCGAGCGGGACAAATTCGGCACCTGAGGCTCTGGCACAAGTTCGGGCCAGGTGGGAGGCTCGAGCCGCATGGCCTTGGACATGTCCGCCTCCCCGAAGTTGGCCCTGGAAGGGACGCCGCGCATTTGACAAAGTGCTGAGGAAGTATGGGGCGGGAGCCGTTGTTGTTGTAAAAACTCAGGGGCCAGTTCCCAGCTTGGTGGCACCTCGCTTTCACCTGCAAAAAAGGGGGCGAGCCCCGGGAGGAGCACTTCAATAGAAAAGAAACGGTTAGAGGGGAGGGGGATCACCAATGATCTGTTTGAAATGAGGCTGTCGTACGAACAACAACAACAACCACAACAACAACAACAACAACAACAACAACAATCATTTAAGACTGGGGACACTCCGTGCTCACCAGTGCCAGGGTTTTCATAGGAGGCGGGCAATACCCCCACTTTGTGGGGGGGCCGGTTCAAGCTCTACCAAGTTTCCAAACGACTCTTCGCCACAACCCACACCCAGCTTCCCGCCCTATGACGTTCGGACACTTCACTTCGTGGCCTGCGGACGACCTTGGCTACTACACTGACGTATGGGTACAATGACTTGTTGTGGTAACATTTTGTGGAAGCTGGCTTAGTATACGACTTATCCCCCTGTTCCATCACTGGACACCTGTACCGTTTTCCGACGTTTTTCCGTTTCTGTACCACACAAGCAAAGATTATTTTGAGTGGTACCACGTGCGTGGCGCCAGCATACCACAGGACTTGTTTCCGTTGTTGCAGAAGTTCGAAGCACGTGAAAAAGTTGCTCGCAAGAGCCCGTTTGACAGAAATGTTGAAAAAATATTGCGTTTCCTCAGAAATCCGCAAGAGCGCGCGGGATGAATTTTTGAAACTTTTTTTTTGAAAAACCATTGGGTTTTTCATGTTTTTATGTTAAAATCGCTACGAAAACTAAGATTTTGGAAGGATTTCATCTTGCGCGCGCGAGTGTGCACTTCGTGTCATTTGTTGCAAAGGATTCTTGAAGTTTGGTTATGTTAGAACAAGACATGTCATTTTATAGTGTTTTTTGACAGGGAAAGCGGGCGTCAACAAAACAACCGGATCTGGATGACATCGTTTTACCTGAGACTTCCTCACGAAAATGATGAAAATGTGGCTGCGGCCTAGGCGCGGGGGGGGGGGCGTGCACCAGGGGGCCCAACAATAATTATTCTTTAGAATTAATAATGTTCAACAACAACATCAACAACAACAACAACGACGACGACGACGACGACGACGACGACGACGACGACACCAACAATCACAAGACTCATCACTCTCTCATCTGCTCGCGTGCGACTCATCACGTATATCCCAAACCCTCGATGCCCGCCCTCTTCGTTTTCGATCCTACTGCATTACGGGTATAACTTCTGACCTGCATATGCAATTCGTGCAGCCCTGAAGGCAAGGGGAAAGAGAACAGATGGAAGGAATGGGCAAGGGGGAAGGATAAGGATGGAGCACGAGAGAGCTTAGCAGGAGGGGGGCTAGGAGCAGATAACATCTGGCAGAACCAAACGGGCTGATCGGGCGGGAAGACCCAGACGGGCGGGTCGGGAAGGCGGGCCCAGACGGCCAGGTCGAGCAGGCGGATTGCTGAAGCGTGCGTCCTGCATGAACCGCGAAGTCCCGAGCGATAGCGCGATTCCCAGGCCTTAGGAAATTCATAGTGAGAGCGTGATTCTGGAGTGTCGAAGGCACACCGTCTGAATAAATTGCGAGGAATTCCCACGCGAGAGCATCATTCCCGCATACATTGTCAGGACGTCGCGCGCGAAAGCGCGACTTGGGAATAAATTGTGAAAACGTATCAGGCGGGAGCCGGTGTTGTTGTAAACCGGGGGCCAGGGGCCCAGTCTGGTGACACATCACTTCCCCATATAAAATATGGTTCGAGCCCTGGGAGACGCACTTTCATGTTAGAATTACAAAATGATTAAATTGGGAGGGGGATTAACAACAATGATGAATTAGAATCAAAACATCAACAACAACAACAACAACAACAAGGTGAAGCCGGCTGCCCAATACCCAGTCCCACGGGACACCGATGGCTGGCTTCCCCGCCAGGGCGACCCCGGCTGCCGGGTAACCGGTCCCCCCACACACACCCGAACAACGAACAACAGAACAACAGAACAACGCCAACAAAAACATGCAACAAGAGAAACGGAAACTGAACACACACCCTTTCGCACATCCACCGACTCCGCGCTCCATGATGCAAGAGTGCACCGGCGAGGCGATCCCGATTGAATCCCTACAGATCCTTGTGCGATCCCTATGGGGTCCCTACAAACACACATGGGATCCCTATGGACTTCCTCCAGACCCTCCTGGGATCCCCAAGGTATCCCTACAGATACGCATGGGATCCCTATGACATCTCTATGGGATCCCTACGAGACCCTCATGGGATCCGTACGGGATCCCTACAGACCGTCATGGGATCACTAAGAGATCCCTACAGACTCTCATGGGATCACTGTGAAATCCCTACAGACCCTCATGCGATCCCTATGGGACCCCGACAAACCAACATGTGATCCCCATGAAATCCCTACAAACACGCATGGGATCTCTATGGGATCCCGTTGGGATCCCTGCAGACCCTCATGGGATCCTTTTGGGATCCCGATGGGGTCCCTGCAGACCCTCCTGGGATCCCCATGGTATACCTACAAACACTCATGGGATCCGCAGGGGATCCCTACAGACCCTCATGGGATCCCGATGGGGTCCCTACAGAGCCTCATGGGCTCCCTGTGGGACCCCTACAGACCCTTAATGGGACCCGTATGGAACAAGTCGTAGTAGGAGTATTAGTAGTAGAAGGTCGTAGTAGTAGTAGTAACAAGCATAGCAATAGTAACAGTAGCAATGGCAGCAGTAGTGGAAGTATGAGTACTAGCAAAGTATTGGACAGTGACATACTAAAACTGTAATAACAGTAGTAGTAGTACTAGTAGTAGTAGTAGTAGTAGTAGTAGTAGTAGTAGTAGTAGTAGTAGTAGTGGTAGTAGGAGTAGTAGTAGTAGTCGTAGTAGTATTAGTAGTAGTAGTCGTAGTAGTAGTAGTAGCAGTAGTAGTAGTAGTAGTAGTAGTAATAGTAGTACTAGTAATAGTAGTAGTAGTAGTAGTAATAGTAGTAGTAGTAGTAGTAGTAGTCGTAGTAGTAGTAGTAGTAGTGGTAGTAGTAGTAGTGGTAGTAGTAGTAGCAGTAGTAGTAGTAGTAGTAGTAGTGGTAGTAGTAGTAGTAGTAGTAGTAGTAGCCGCAGTAGTAGTAGTACTAGTAAGAGTAGTCGCAGTCGCAATAGTAGTAGTAGCAGCACGAGTGAAAGTAGTAGCACAAACACTAGTCGTTGTGGTAGTAGCTGGGAACTAGTAGTAGTAGTAGTAGTAGTAGTAGTAGTGGAACTAGAAGTAGTAGTAGTAGTAGTAGTAGTAGTGGTAGTAGTAGTAGTAGTAGTAGTAGTGGTATTCATCGTAGTCGTCGTAGTAGTAGTAGTAGTAGTAGTAGTAGTACTAGTAGTAGTAGTAGTAGTAGTAGTAGTAGTAGTAGTAGTAGTAGTAGTAGTAGTAGTAGCAATGGTGGTAGTAGTAGTAATAGTGATGGCAATCGTAATAGAATAGTAATAGTAGTAGTGGTAGCCGTAATATTCGTGGTCGGAGTCATGGTAGGAGTAGTAGTAGTAGTAGTGGTAGAAATCGTAGTACCAGTACAAGTAACAATCGTACGACTAGCCAGAGTAGTCGTCGTAGTCGAAGGAGCAATAATGATAGTAGTAGTAGTAGTCGTACTAGAAGTCGTACTAGTAGTAGTAATGGCCGTAACAGTAGTAGTAATAATACTGGCAGTAGCAGTAGTAGTAGAAGTAATAATAGTATTTGGGTTTA